TGATATAGAAGACAATTTTTTATATATTATATATATATATATATATATATATATATATAATTTATATTATTATTATCATATAAGGATAAAAAAATTATTATGGATTATTTACTTCAGATCATATTTTTTTAATAAATTATTAAGATTTTTTTTTCATTGGATTATTTTTAACCCTTATTGTCTAATGGAGATATAACCCTTATTCTTGAAGAAACTAGAATAGGATCTAGTTGCCTCGAGCAATAGTGTGTTTATTTTGGAATTTTTTCACTATCTTCACCATTTGAAAATAACAAATATTCACTATAATGTCACCCACGTCTTCACTAATTGTGAAAACTCTAAAAATAGGTGAGTTCATACTTCTTGCACCGTACTCCATTTTGAATCGGTTCCATGTTTTGCTTAAGTTATTTTTCCTTCTTATTTTTAATTATACTTCTCACTTTCATGTTTGTTATGTTTGCATAAAAAAAATACATGACATTTTTTTAGGTATTTTGTGTTTGTTACCATTACAAATAGAGGTAGACAAATGAGATTTTTAAACCATGTTCTTGTATTAATTTTAGAGTAAATCAAATTAAAGTAACATCAATTGATATAAGAACATGGTTTAGAATTTCCTTTTACCCATTTGCAATGGTAATAGAGACAACAATACTCCTAAGTCACATATTTCCTCGATTCAAATGTAACAAACATGGAAATGAGAAGGAAAGATAACTTTAGCAAATCAAGATGGGTTCAAAATGGGGCTTAGAACAAAAAGAATAAACTCACCTATTTTTAAGATTTTTATAATTAGTAACGACGGTAGTGAACTTGTGTATCATGATGAATCTTTGTTCTTTTCAAATTGGTGAAGATAGTAAAAAAGTTTTAAGACAAGTATACTATTACTTAGGATTGTTAGATATTGTTCTAATTTTTTCAAGAACAATTTTCTCATTAAAGGAGAAAGGTTGAAGATGACCAAAGAAAAAAATGACCTAATAACTCATTAAAAAAAATTATGACCCAACTTGTAACTAAATAACTCAAGGTAAAGAAAATTATCCTTATATGATAATAACAACAACAATAATAATATAAATTAATATATATTAAAATTTGTATCTAAATATTTAAAAATTAAAAATAATATTTTAAAAAAAATACCTTCTGTAATTAATGTGACAGAAGTAAATAATTGCCCCCATCGTATTAATCTAATTCACATATTACACTAAAATATGTTAATCAAAAATATGTGTGGAAGGAACGTAACTAATAAACCCCTTATTTATGTGTTAATCGAAGTGAAACAACGCTAATTTTAATGTTATCATAAGTTTTACCCTGCCTTTCACCTAACTTTCTTTATTTTGCTGTAAGATTGATGTGACTAATGACTTGTACATATTTAGTGGGAAGGAAACATGCATTGTTTTTGAATTATAATGTACCTTTTATGCCTTATTTTCGGCTAATGAACCATCAACATGCCATGTTCAACCATTTAGCTTCAATTGAAAAAAGAAAGTGGTGGCACAACTATGTTTATTTCTAGCACAATTATGCATATAAACAAAAGTGGTTGTGCCTGTTTTGATTATTAAATAAGTAATTTTGGTCTTTTTTATTTTTATTTTAAGCCTAATCTTGATTTTTAAATATTAATGATACTCCTGTCTAGCACAAGAATTTTCATTTAAATATATCATCATATTTAACTTATTCTTTTACTTCTTTATCTGATATCGGTAATCTTTGAGCATGTTTTACATCTATACATGGCATTAACTTTTTTCTTGAGTTTCGTAAGGGATCTTTGAGACTCATGGGCGCGATAGGATTCTTGAGTATTTAAGGTTGTAATCATTAATTTGAAAAAGAAATTTGTGTACGTCTTCCTTATTCTTACGTAGTTAGATACTTATTGTTGTAATTATTGATATTTTTAGGATTTGATTTTCTCTTATAATAATTAGCTAAATCTATGGGTAAGTTAGTAATCGATCTTGTGATTAAAGTCCTATATTTCCCCCAATTTTCAATATAATTGTGCATTCCCTTTACATTAGGGTTATTAGTTTTATTGTGTGTCATTCATAGTTAATTAGAAGATTTAAAAGGCAATACAAGCCTAGGGTCATTGAATGACCACAACAATTCTCACTTTCATTTATACTTACTAGGGTAACAAATCTTTTTGAACCTAATGTTTTTATTGACAAATTATTTATGAAATAAGTAGAGAATTTAACTAAATGATAGATAGAATGCAATCTTACGATATCAGTAATTGTTTAGTCTTTCGAAACAATAATTTGGATTTAGTTTCGTGTAATAATTATGTGCAAGGTACATTAATTTTCCCATTTCTATTTTGCATGCATCATTTATCAACATCATAAATAATATCTACTAAGAGAAATAATATCTATCGGTGCAAGAATTTATCATATTATTTTCATCCTATTTAAGTATTATACTATGAAATTTATTAATACTTTCATTTCATCAATTTAAAAGGG